ACCTATGGGGCCACGAAACGTGTGAAGGGTGTGCCGAATATGGGTGTGCGGGGACGCATGCGGGCACACCCACTGGGACCTTCGGTGGAGCTCCCTATGGGGCCACGAAACGTGTGAGGGGTGTGCCGAAATGGGTGTGCGGGACGCATGCGGGCACACCCACTGGGACCTTCGGTGGAGCTCCCTATGGGGCCACGAAACGTGTGAGGGGTGTGCCAAAATGAGTGTGCGGGACGCATGCGGGCACACCCACTGGGACCTTCGGTGGAGCTCCCTATGGGGCCACGAAACGTGTGAGGGGTGTGCCGAAATGGGTGTGCGGGACGCATGCGGGCACACCCACTGGGACCTTCACTGTGTGAGGGGTGTGCCTTCGGTGGAGCGCCCTATGGGGCCACGAAACGTGTGAAGGGTGTGCCGAAATGGTGTGCGGGACGCATGCGGGCACACCACTGGGACCTTCGGTGGAGCTCCCTATGGGGCCACGAAACGTGTGAGGGGTGTGCCGAAATGGGTGTGCGGGACGCATGCGGGCACACCCACTGGGACCTTCGGCGGAGCTCCCTATGGGGCCACGAAACGTGTGAGGGGTGTGCCGAAATGGGTGTGCGGGACGCATGCGGGCACACCCACTGGGACCTTCGGTGGAGCTCCCTATGGGGCCACGAAACGTGTGAGGGGTGTGCCGAAATGGGTGTGCGGGACGCATGCGGGCACACCCACTGGGACCTTCGGTGGAGCCCCCCATGGGGCCACGAAACGTGTGAGGGGTGTGCCGAAATGGGTGTGCGGGACGCATGCGGGCACACCCACTGGGACCTTCGGTGGAGCTCCCTATGGGGCCACGAAACGTGTGAGGGGTGTGCCGAAATGGGTGATGACGATGATGATGAAGATGGGAGGAGGGAGGGGGCAGCGGGAAGGAAGGAACGCGGGGCGACGTCTCTTCAAAACGAGGACCCAACACCACAGGATGGTTGGGAAAAACACAGCAAAAAGGCTTTTGTGTTGCAGTCTTCGACTGTTAGGGTCCCTCACCAGCCCCCAGGACCGACAGAAAACAGGCAGGGGGAGAGGTCCAGACTTCTAGGGAGCCGCGCGATTATATATTATATATATATATATATATATATATATATATATATATAATGCACGTGCAGATCTGTCTGTTTACATATACATGTGTATTGTATGTAGATAGATAGATAGATCGATAGATAGATATATAGATAGATAGATAGATATATAGATGGATAGATAGATAGATAGATAGGTCGATAGATAGATAGATAGAAATATAGATAGATAGATCGATATATCTGGGGGGTCGTCCTCGAGGCACCACTGGTACGGACCGGTACGACCCCCCTTTGGATGCACAGAACCCCCCGGCGGGACGCACCGCCGGTGCGGACCCCGCGGTACGAAATTCCCCGGGATGCCCCCCAGCCTCCCAGACTGCGCTGCCAGCGTCCGGTGGCGCGGTTGGCGGCGGCGGCGTCGGCGGCGGCGGCGGCGGCGACGGCGACGGTGACGACCTCCAGCCAGAGAGCTCCAGAGGCGCCCGGAACCCGTGGAGGTTTCAGGGGAGCAGTTTTGGGGTTGCGGACGCCCGGCGGACGCCCTCGGTCCCAGGAGGTTTCTGGAGGTCCCCGGAGGTCTCCTCCCCACTCCACATTGCACTCCTCGGCGCTTCTGACCGCTCCCCCCGACTCCTCCCCACTCCATCGCGCTTCTCGGCCCTGCTCGGTACCCAGACCCCAGACATCATGATTTTTTCATGCCGCGACCCCCAAAGGTCAAGACCCATTCCATGGGACCGGTTTTTCATCCTGAATCGTTTTTTGACGGTTCCAAGGCCTGGTAAGGGCCCCCAGAGGCCGAGAATAGGGAAAAACCTCCCGTCGTGATTTTTTCACAACGCGAGGGGGTCTGGTCTGGGTACTCCTCACCGCTCCTCCCGATCCCCCCCGCTCCCACAGGAGACCCCCACCCCACTACCCTTAAGTTGGGCCTGTCCCTCTACAGGAGAAATATTCGACAATAGTCCAAAAATAGTATGGGGACGATTTTTCTGCATATTTTTAGATTCTTTATGAGTATTTTTCTAACATTTTTGATTTGTCATCCAAAATCCGCTGGTTGGGGGACATGTCCGACCTAACACTGCCCACAGGAGGGGGGAGGGGGGGGTTCCGCTGGCGCGCCCAGTATACGACACCGGCCCCAGGTCGCCGGCGTCACCCAGTGCGCTTGGCACGAGACCTCCCAGAAAAGCGCGGGGGGGGGGTATACCAAGGGCGGGGCACCGCCGGCATATACACACACACACACATATATATATATATATATATATATATATATATATATATGTGTGTGTGTGTGTATGTCTGTCTGTCTGTCTGTCTGTGTCTGTGTCTGTCTGTATGTTGTATGTATTATGTATGTATGTGTGTACGTATGTATGTATGTATGTATGTATGTATGTATGTATGTATGTGTGTATGTATGTATGCATGTATGTATGTATGTATGTATGTATGTTTGTATGTATGTATGTATGTATGTATGTATGTATGTATGTATGTATGTATGTATGTATGTATGTATGTATGTATGTATATATATGCATACATACAAATATACGTATATATATATGTGTATATGGCACCTCTCAGGGCTCCCAAGGCCTTCCAATGGGAGGTTGCCGAGAAGCCTTTCAGAGGCAGCCAGAAATCCTTCAGAGGCCGCCGACAACCTTTTCAGAGGCCGCCAGTGACCCTCCCAGGGGCCACCAGGAGGCCTCTCAGGGGCCGCCAAGAGGCCTCCCAGGGGCCGCCAATAATCTTCTCAGGGGACGCCAGGAGGCGTCTTCTGGGGGCCCCCAAGAGGCCTCTCAGGGGCCGGCAAGAACCGTCTCAGGGGCCGCCAAGAAACGCCTCGGGGACCGCCAAGAACCCTCTCAGGGGCTGCCAATAACTTTTTTAGTGGCCGCCAGAAGACTTCTAAGAGGCAGCCAAAGACCTTCTCGGGGGCCGCCACGGACCCTCTCATGGGGCCGCCAAGAGGCCTCTCAAGGGGCCGGCAAAAAGCCTCCCAGGAGCCGCCAAGGAGCTTCTTAGGGGCCTCCAAGAACCCTGTCAGGGGCAGCGAAGTGGCCTCTCAGGGGCTGCCAAGACTCTTTTCAGGGGCTGCCAAGAACCTTCTCAGGGGCCACAAAGGACCCTCTGAGGGGCCGTCAAGAGGCCTCTCAGGGGCCGCCGAGAGGCCTCCCAGGAACCGGCAGGAGGCCTCTGAGGGGCCTCCAAGAACCCTCCTAGGAGACGCCGAGAACCCTCTCAGGGGCCAGCCACAACGCTTTCAGAGGCCGTCCCGAACACTCTCAGGGGCCGCCAGAAACCCTTTCAGAGGCAGCCCAAAACCGTCTTAGAGGCCGCCCATCACCCTCTCGGGGACAGCCAACAACCTTTTCATGCGCCGCCAAGAAGCGTCTCAGGGGCCGCCAAGAGGCTTCCAGGGGCCGCCAAGAACCCTCTCAGGGGCAGCCACGAAGCGTCCTAGAGGCCACCAAACAAACCTCTGAGTCTCAGGGGCCGCCAAGAACCTTCTGGGGGCCGCCGAGAAGCTCCCCAGGGGCCGCCAAACAGTCCTATCAGGGGCCGTCAAGAACCGTTTTGGGGGCCGCCGAGAACCTTTTTGGGGGCCGCCGAGAATCCTCTTGGGGGCCGCCAAGGACGTTCATGGGGGCCGCCAAGAACCTCTCAGGGGCCGCCAAAAACCTTCTTGGGGGCCGCCCAGAACCTTTTGGGGGGCCGCCAGACATTTTCCTTTCTCAGGGACCGCCAAGAGGCCTCTCAGGGGCCGCCGAGAAACCACCCAGGGGCAACCAACTCTCTCAGGGGCCGCCAGAAACCCTCTCAGAGGCCGCCAAGAGAGCCCTGTCAGGGGCCGCCAAGAAACTCCCCAGGGCCGGCCAAGAAGCCCCCCAGGGGCGGCCAAGAACCGTCGCAGGGGCCGCCAAGAACCTTATGGGGACCGCCGAGAACCTTCTCCTTGGAGGCCGCCAAGCCCCTTCGGGGGGCCGCCAAAAACCCTCTCAGGGACCGCCGAGAACCCTCTCAGGGGCTGCCAAGAACCTTCTTGGCGGCCGGTGAGAACCCTCTCAGAAGTTCCATCTACAGAGAAACAATTCGGAATTATGCCAGGGAGCGAGTCGTTCAACCTGGGAACGAGTCGTTCAACCGGGGAACGAGTTTTTCTCTTTTCCAGCGTACACACGCGCAGCACCTGGTGCACGCGGGCATCTATCTGCCACGCCGCGGGTGTTTTTAGGGAGACGAAAAATGACATAAACATAACAAGTCGGAGGTCCGCGCGGATTTCTCGGATCGTCGCTGGACCCCCTTGGCGTGCAAAACGCGCCAGGGGCGGCGCCGAAAGCGCCGCCGGGGGGCCCCAGCGCCGGTCCGAGAGATCCGCGCGGTCTTTTACGTCATTGTTCGTTCCCCTAGCACCCTCCGTTTCCAGCGCACACACGCGCAACACCTGGTGCACGCGGGCATCTGTCTGCCACACGGCCTTGGGTACTGTCGGCCCCTCGCCGTCCTCCTCCTCCTCCTCCTTCTCGCCCTCCTCCTCCTCCTTCTTTCTACTTCTCCTTCTCCTTCTCATCACGCCTTACCCATCCCTCTGCTCCTCCTCCTCCTCCTCCTCCTCCTCCTCCTCCTCGTCATCATCATCATCATCATCATCATCATCATCATCAGCATCATCATCATCATCATCATCAACAACATCAACATCAACATCATCATCATCATCATCATCATCATCATCATCATCATCATCATCATCCTCTTTCTCCTCCTCCTCCTCGTTTCCTCCTCCTTCCTCGTTTCCTCCTCCTCGTTTCCTCCTCTTCGTTTCCTCCTCCTCCTCCTCGTTTCCTCCTCCGCCTCCTCCTCGTTTCCTCCTCCTCCTCATCCTCCGACCCACCGCGCAGTGGGGCGCGGGGGCTCCCTGGGGCGGCGCCGCCCCGCGCAGCCATGGGGCGCGGCAGGTCGGGCTCCTCCCGGGGCTCCAGGGGCAGGAGCCCGAGCCGCCGGCGCAGGCCCGCCCCGCCCTTCGGACCGGGAGCGTAAGCCACGCGCAGGAAGGGGGGGTCGAATTTCGAGATTCCTCCTCCTCATCCTTCTCCTCCTCCTCTTCCTCCCGCTACTACTCATACTCCTACTCATACTCCTACTCCTCCCCCTCCTCCTCCTCCTGCTACTACTCCTACTCCTACTCCTACTCCTACTCCTCCTCCTCCTCCTCCTCCTCCTCCTCCTCCTCCTCCTCCTACTCCCACTCCTACTCCTACTCCTACTCCTACTCCTACTCCTACTCCTACTCCTACTCCTACTCCTACTCCTCGTCGCCTCCTCGCCCCCCCCCCTCCTCCTCCTGCGGCTTCTCGGCTGCGGCCCCCCACCTCCTCCTCCTCCTCATCCGCCTCCTCCTCTTCCTCCTCCTCCTCCTCTTCCTCCTCACCTCCTCCTCCTCCCCTCCTCCTTCTCCTCCTCCTCCTCCTTCCTCCTCCTCCTCCTCCTCCTCCTCTCCTCCGGCTCCTCCTCCTCCACCTCCTCCTCCTCGCCTCCTCTGGCTCCTCCGCCTACGGCCCGCCACCTCCCCTCTCCTTCTCCTCCTCTCCTCCTCCTCCTCCTCCTCCCTCCTCCTCCTCCTTCCTCCTCCTCCTCCTCCTCCTCCTCCTCCTCCTCCTCCTCCTCCTCCTCCTCGCGCAGAAGGGGGTTCGAACTTCGAGGTTAGGACTTCGAGATTCCCACTCCGCACTTCGAGCTTCGTGCGCGCGCTTCCCTGTGGGCGCCGCCAACCAGCGGCGACGGCCAGCGAGCGCCGCGGGAGGACGTCATGTCGAGGCGGCAGGAGTTCGGCGCCTTGTCAGAGCGGGGCTGGCGGCGCCACTGCCTGCGCTGAGGTCGGCCACGCGCAGAGGGGGGGGGGTGGAGGGAGGGGGAGGGCTTCTTAGAAGCACCCCGTGCTTCTCAGGAGGCGCGGGCCTTCTTTGCAGACGTGACGCTGCCGCCTTCTAGGAGCAGCCTGCCAAGAAGCCTTCTCCCCTCCCCCATACCCGCTTGTCTTCGCGTCGCTTGAAGTGTGCATTGTTTCCCGGCGAGGACCATCGGGGAGCCTTTGGGGTCATCTTGCGAGACAATTCACGCACGATGCCGAAACACGCACGGGGAATGGACGTCCGAGCGATGGCCAGCTTGTGCGCGTCGCCAAGGAGGAGGAAATGATACATGATACATGAGGAGGAAATGATACATGAGCTAGCGGGGCGCAGGTCCGAGGAGGAAATGATACATGATACCGATGCCGCTGCCCTTTCCTGGAACGCCCTCGTCGCCACGGCCAGATTCGCCCTCCCTGGCACCGCTCGGGCGTGTGCATTTCTTGACTCGGCGTGCACCATCGAGGAGCCTCCTGGAACACCTTGCGAGACATCCATGCGCGAAACCGAAGCATGCACGCGGAAAGGGACCTCCGAGCGGAGGAGAAGGAGGAGGAGGAGGAGGAGGAGGAGGAGGACCGCAGGCGGAGGAGCCAGAGGAGGCGAGGAGGAGGAGGAGGAGGAGGAGGAGGAGGAGGAGGGCGAGGGACCGACGGCACCCAAGGCCGTGTGGCAGACAGATGCCCGCGTGCACCAGGTGCTGCGCGTGTGTGCGCTGGAGACGGAGGGTGCTAGGGGAACGAACAATGATGTGAACATAAAAACTCGGAGGTCCGCGCAGATTTCTCGGACCTGCGCTGGGCCCATCTGGCGGCGCCTCCGTCGCCGCCCCCGGCGCGCTCCGCGCGCCAGGGATGGGGCTCCAGCGCGGATCCGAGAAATCCGCGCGGACCTCCAAGTTGTTATGTCTATGCCATTGCTCGTTCCTCTCGTATGTTCTGCTGGTTTCGTCGGTTCCCATCGGTTTTCCAGCCTCGGGTTGCTCTCCAGCGGCTGCGCCTCGCCGAGGACGTTCCAGGGGTGCCTGGATCGTCCCGGCCGGCCGCAGGAGACCCGATCTATGACCCGAGAGCCAGACGACGATGATCGTTGAGGGAGAATGCCCTCTCAGAAGGCGGTGGGGCTCCTCAGATGCCCTCCAGCCTTCTCTGAGAAGCCACCTGTGTCTTCGGAGAGGGCTTGGGATGGCTTAAAATATTTACATAAGGCCGGAGGCCTTCTGAGCCTTCTGAGCAGGCCCGCCCCCTCTGACTTCCCCCCTGGGGGCGCCGCCGAGAGAGGCCTCGACACCCTCGAGTTGTTGATCAAATGTCGCGGCAGACCGATTCGGACCGTGTCTGGCCTCCACGGGGTCCCGGGGCCGTGAGAAGACGGTTCGCGGGTGAAGAGGTTCAGACCTATTATGGGGAGCCGCGCTGTGCAACAAAAAGCACGTCGGAGGTCTGGGGAGGAGGAGAGAGGTGAGGTGGAGGGGGGACTGCGTTTCTTGCTTCGTCTCTGTGCCTTCTTGGTTCCAGGCGTCCACGGTGGCAGGCCTAGCTTTTACGACGGAGGCCACATCCCCCAAGTTGGTTTACGACGGAGGCCACATCCCCTAAGTTGGTACCTCGTTTCTACGTGTCGTGGTCATCTCGTTGACGCCACGCATCATCATGCCAAAGCTGGTGCAGCGTAGAAAGGGGAGGCAGTGGAGGATGAGGCAAAGTTTGGGCTGGAGGAGGGCGAGGACGAGGGCTCGCCAGGGCCCGCGAGACCGGCACCATCAACACGTGGAACACCGAGAAGCAGTTCGGCTTCGTGTCCTGCTCCTCGAAGAACCGGGCCGACCTCTTCCTCCACGCGGAGCCATATGGGGGGGGGGGGGTAGCGGCCTGCTGCCCTCCTCCTGCTCCTCCTCCTCCATTTGTTTTCCTCCTCGTCCTGATCAGCCTCGCCCTCTCCTCCCCAGCTTCTGCTCCGCCTGCCCCTTGGGGGTCCCCTTCCGTCTGCCTCTTCTGCCGCCGCTCCCTGCTGCTCCTCCTTCCCCTCTGGATCCTGCGCATCCTCCGCGTCGTCCTGTTTCTGCTGCCGCTCCCCCTCGGTCTCCTCACCGTTCTCCTTGTCATAGCCCGCATCCTTGATCTCCTTTTCATCGCACTCGCCATCATCTCCTCTCCTCCGCTCTCAGGAGGGGAACAACTAAAACACACAGACACAGTTAACGGATTTTCTGGATCGGTTGACACAGCGCCAATACAAGACATCTGCGGGGACCGCCGAAGGTGCACGTTTACAATACCGTGCACGTGAGCTTCCTCCGCCCTCCCTCCTCCCCCTCCTCCTCCTCTTCCTCCTCCTCCTCCTCCTTCTCCTCCTCCTCCTCCTCCTCTCCTCCCCTTCCTCCTCCTCCTGCTCCTCTTCTGCCTCCTCCTCCTTCTCCTCCTCCTCCTCCTTGCCTGAGTCTGCTTGAAGTGAAGCTCGTGGCGTCGAGATGCATGCGAGCGGCTGCGCCCTCCCAGGAGTATTTTGAGAACCTGGACCAGCGCAACCGGGCGAAGACGCGGGGCCTGCGCCGGGGCGACAGGATCGCGTTCGACATCCAGGCCCGCGGCTGTTCTGGAGTGTGCTCAAGCGCTGTTTCCGTCATTGTGTTCAAGGTTTTTCCTGTCATGTGCATTTTAGGGGCAATTGTTGATGCGTTGTTGGGATCTTGTTCGCGCCGTGATCGGTTCGGTCCTGCTTTGTTTTGCCGTGTTATTGTGTTCTGGGCTGCCGTTTTTGTCCACGCCCTGTTGCCCGAAATTCGAAGAGCAGAGCACGACAAATACGGTGGGGGCGTTGGCTAAGGAATGTGCCAAGGAAGCTTCAGACCCTGGAGGGGAGGTGACATCCGTGGCCAGGCCTCAATTAGTGTTTTCCACCGGCTTCCAGACCCTGGATTTCGTATCTGATGGTTCCGTGTCCACTGTCCTCGCCATGCGTTCTTTGGTGGCCCGGGCCCTCGTTGGGCCGGGCGGCCTCCGCGGGGGGCTCTGGCAACTTCGGAGGCCCCTCGGAAAGGCAGCTTTGGTTGTTCTGGAGCGGGATGTAGTCGACCAGGAAAAGATCCTCGCCGCGCGCGAGCCCCAGACTTCCGCGGACTGCGTGTTCTAATCCACGGGTTCCAGAGGCCTCGACCCACATTCGTTTTTGATTGCCGCGGGAGCCGACACCTGTTTCCAGAGGCAGACATGGTGATAGAACGCCGGGGCTGGAAAATCAAATCCCCCAAAGTCTAGGTCTCTTGACTGCTCCTGGGCCCTGGGTCTTTCGGCCACTTCCCCAGGACCCGCTCTTCATCCTCAATTGTTGGTTGACGATCCTGGGGCCCAGAAGCGGCTGCCAGGATCCGAGAACAATGACAACAGTTATTGCACACATCTACATCTATAGATAGGTATAGAGATATATCCCTGTATACAAACGCATACACATCTACAACCAGACACATGTATCGTTCTCGTTTAGAGATAATTATAACTATACACAGGTCTCTGGACGCACCGTTGTCTCCCTTTCCTCTTGTAAGTTCTAAGACGGAACGATGGAGGGTGACGATACATTGACAAGTTTGTTTGGGACGGGGGCTGCGCAGTTGGCGAAAGTTTTTGTGAGAGACGGATGTTGTTGAGCATATGGGTGTTGTGTTACAGACGGAGGCTGTGTAGTAAACGAATCTTGTGTTGGAGTCGGAGTTTGTTGAGTACATGGGCGTTGTGTTTTACAAGTGAGCTGCGGGCGGTGGGCAGCGGCGGGCGGTGGGCGGCGGGCGGGCTTGGGTTCTCAACGTAATTCTTAAGGATGCTCTCTTGCAGCGTTAGGGGGTGTAGTACATGGGTGTTGTGTTGGAAACGGACGTTGTTGAGTACGTGGGTGTTGCGTTCGGGACGGGGTGTGCTGAGCAGACGTGTGTAGCGTTGACGACGGAGGTTGTGAGGTAGGCGGGTGCTGTGTTGGAGACGGAGGTTGTGTACTCGATTGGTGTTGCGTTGCAGACAGAGGATGTCCAGGACATGGGTGTTGCGTTGGCGAAGCGAGCGGCGGTTGTTGGGCGGCGGGCGGTCAGCGAGCGGCGGCCTGGGGATGCTCTATTGCAGCGGGCAGCTGGAGACTGAGGGTGTTGCGTGGAGACCGAGGGTGGTGAGTTCGTGGGTGTTGTGTTTGGGACGGAGGTCGATGATCAGAACGGGGCTTGCATTGGAGATGGAAGCAGTTGAGTGGATGGGTGCTGTGTGTTGTGATGGAGGCTGTGTGCTGCTTGGGTGTTGTGCCGGGGACGGACACTGCGGGGTACATGGTTGCTTTGTTGGAGAAGCGAGCTGGTCGGGCGGCCTCGGTTATCTTCCCCGCCAGGGCACCTCGAAAGTGGGCGACACTTTCATGATTTTGAAGACCTAGGCGTAGAACATGGGATCAACACACCTAGATACGGGATGTACGTTTGTATGTGCGTTTGTATGTGTGTGTCCATAAGTACACACACATGCATACAACAATGAAGCGGCCCATACATACATATACATACACATCAAGTGCAGAAGCTGGTATGTACATTCATGTATGTATGTATGGATGGATGTATGCATGCATGCATGCATGCATGCATGTATTTATGTATGTATGTATGTATGTATGTATGTATGTATGTATGTATGTATGTATGTATGTGTGTATGTATGTTTGTACATACGCACGTATGTATGTATGCATGTATGTATGTATGAATGAATGTGTGTATGGATATATGCATGTATGTATCGATGCATGAATGCATACGTGCGTACACCTACATTTATGTAGATATAGATGGTCGGCTATCTGGACGGTTGAGTTTGTCTTGGTTGTTCATGGTCACCCTTAAGCCCCCCCCGAAGTGGCCAAACAACGGGACCGCGGCCCCCAGGAGGCCGGGGGCGGCAAGCGGAGCGCCGAAGCCGTCAACGCCGAGATGCTCGACGTGTCCAAGCTGTCGCCCTCGCGCAGCCCTAGCGGCCGCCGCGGGGATGCCAAGCCCAGGCGTCTGGGGAGGAACACGTACCGACCCTCATGTCCCGGCGTCGCATCAGGTAACACAAACGCGGCGGCCAGGTGTCGCTCCCCAGTTACAGTGCTTCGCTTAGGGTTTCTCATTTCTGTGCTGGGGAAGTGGGCCTGGGTGTCGGTCTGGCGGCTCCGTGGTCCAGGTTCGCCGTCGCCGATCCGTCGCCGCCTCGTCGCCGCCCGTCGTCTGGGCCTGGCTGTCGGTCGGTCTGGCGGCTCCGTGCCCGCCGTTGCCGCCCCGTTGCGGCCTCGTGGCCGCCGGTCGTCTTGGTCTGGGCGTCGGTCTGGCAAGCACTGGCGAAGCGTCCTGTTTCGCTTTTACGTTCCCCAAAGAATGCTCGAGGAACCGGTCGAGGTTTGCGCGAAATTATCATAACACACTTCTGGTTGAAACCATCCTGTTTGAACACATTGGCTTGTGTTCTCATATTGTTTTTCTTATTGGGGCATCACGTCGTGGTCAGCCTCTAGGAATGCCGGGACCTGTCGGTCCCTGCTGAAGTTTGGCGGTTCCGTGTTCCGCGCGCCGGGCCTGGCCGTCGGTGTAGCAGCTATGTGCTCGCCGTCGTCGCCCCGTCGCGGCCCCGTCGTTGCCCAGATTCCCGGAGAGCTCTCCGAGAGCTATAGGGCTTTAGATTAGAAGCCGGACGGTGGTGGTGCCTGCCAGCAGCTCCTCCACGGCGCTCCAGAATCCCCGCAGAAACCGGTTTGTCCCGGCAGCTGGTCCGGGAGCGCTTCCGGCACGCGTCCACGCGTGCCTGCACGCGTGAAGGCACGCGTGGAAGCGTGCCTGGCAGCGCTTCAGAAGCGCTTCAGAAGAGCTCCCTCTTCGCTCTCTCTCTGGGTGTTGAACGCTACCAAGTTGCTCAACATAAATCCTCCTTCCTCAATAGGAAATGGGATCTACAGCCTTCCCGAAGGCGGGATGATCCGCCGCCCTTGGGGATGTGCAATTTACGTATGATGTTGCCCCATCGCTCATTTCAAAAACAGATCTCACCACCCTGGCTGAACGAATTTCGTCCCCCCACGCATCCCTGGCACAAGAAAGCGCTATGCGCGCACATTCGTTTACCAAAATCATCCATACAACCCGCTGCAACAAACGGGACGAAGGACACACGCGCGCGTCGCCGCGCGCGCATGCCGAAATTGTTCAACAACCTGAGGCTTCGTAAGAATATCCAGATCGAGTGTCGCAGAAGCATGAAACACAGCGTTTTGCAACATGACCCCCCCGAGAAAAGCTTGCGCACATTCTTGAAAATGCGGGAAAACAACCAAATGCTTTCAACACGTGCAGCCAACGCTACCAACACTGGTTTCTCGCGCGCGCTTTTCGAAATCGTTCGATCGGCCTTGCGTTTTTTTTTGGGGGGGTTATCTCCCTCTCAAAAGGGAACCATGTCGACCGCTCGCGCCCGTCGGCCGCGCGCGCACATCGAAATCCTTTCAAAATCGTCGTCGCGGACGCGTGGGCACCATCACCGTCATTGGCGTGATCAGCATCGGCGCCGTCATTGGCCCTGCCGTCGTCACTGTCATCGTCTTCACCAGCATCGCTGCTATCATCAGCGTGCCTGCCATTGTCGACGTCGCCATCCTACCAGTCCCGCCCGAGCTGCCGACTCTCGCAGAATTGCCCGCGCGTCGGCGCGGCCTGCGAGACGCGCGGGGGAGCGCCCCGCGGTCAGCGCCACCGCTGCCGCGCCGGTCGCGCCAGTCTAGCCGTCCGCGCTGCGAACGAGCCCGCGCGCACTAGCGCGGCCGCGGCGACGCGCCAGCCAGCGCCGAGCAATCTTCGCCGCGCGGGCTCCGCAGACCAATTTGCGCGCTCTGAGGCAAGATGATTGCGCGCGAAGTGGATTTGGAAACTTGAAGTGGGCAGGGTTATTTCTGTTCAGTGAGAAATCAGGATCCCCCCCCCCGCCCCGGCTTTATCGACGCCTCCCGGAATGGAACAGTCTGCGCGCGATTCTGCTCCGTCGTTTGGTTTCCGCGCGAAATCATACCGTCCCAGCTAGGCCCGTAATCGCCACCCTCATCTTTGACAAATGATATGACGTTCAAAGAAATGCACATGTTTCATGGCCCCCTGCGAACAACTGGACGAAGTCGGCGCGCGCGCGTCGTCGCGCAGGAGCGCTGGAATAGTTCAAAACCCGCGGTGGTCGCAGGGGTGTCAATCTTGAGTTTCCAGACGACGCGTAGTATGCAATGGTTTTGTAACATTTGCATCCCGACATAAGTTACGCGCGCGACCCTGCGAATTTTCATGAGAAGCCATCGTTGCTGTTATTTTGTCCTGCGCGGTCGGAGCGCGCGGCCAAGCGGGCCTCTCGCGCGCGCATGTCGAAATCAGTCGAACGTCTTTGCGCGCTGGCTGGGCGCCGCCACGGCAGCCGGCGCCGAGCAGTCATCGCAATCTCCGCCGTGAGGGTTCCGCAAACCAAGTCGCGCGCGGGCGCGCGGGATGATTGCGCGAGAAATTGGGTTGAGTTCACTGCGAACTTGCATTAATAGCGCCGCGCGGATTGCGCCGCGTCGCGTGCGCCATGTCGATTGCGCAACGTAGCTCGCGCATTGCAGATTGCACCGCGTCGGTTGCGCCGCGTCGATTGCGCCGCGGGTCTGCGCGCCACATCGGTGCTTCCTTTCGAAAAAGAGCCAGGATCTCCCCCCCGGCCCCCGCGGCCAGTTGGGCCCGGGCCCCCGCCCCGCCGCCCTCGCCGAGCAGCGCCGCGCTCGCTCGCCCACCCCAAATTATCAGTCTTCAGGTGCCCCTTGCCGCGGAAAAAAAGGGGGGAACAAACAGGGGCAAATGGGGCCCATAAACACATACAAATAAACGAGAATATAATGCATTTGTTGAAAATAAATGCGAAGCGCGCGCTCGCGGCGTTGCGCGCGCGCCAACATCTTGCAACAAGTTTAGGCGTCGCGAGGGTGCGAGAGTCTCGTGTCCCATTTTCCAAATAAGATTACATAAAACCACGCATGGACTCGCAACGTGATGTTCCCAAGGGGGCGCGCGCGCGCTCTTGCGGATTCGTCCAGAAACATTGAGCATCCCCCCTTGTTCATCAAATGCGACCGAGGCTTTTCGCACGCGCGCGCGGTGGAATCATTCGAGCGCCCGCGCGCGCGCTGGGGGGCGGGGCGGGGCGGCCCCTGTCAAATAGGACCAAGCGGTCTACTCGCGCGCGCCAGTCGCGCGCGCGCGCCGAGAACCCGCCGGCGCCCTTCTACGTCGACGCGCGGGCGCCATGATCGCCATCGCCGAGATCAACATCGGCGCCGCCGTGGCCTTGCCATCGGCATCGTCGCTATCGCCGCTAGCGTCGTTCCTGCCATCGTCGCGTCTGCCGCCGCCGACGTCGACACGACGCCGAGTCACCGACTCGCTCTGGAGCGCCCGCGGGCCAGCGCGGCCTGCGAGGCGCTCTGGAGAGACCCCAGTGGCCAGCGCCACAGCGGCCGCGTCGGTCGCGCCGGACTATCCTGCCCTCTGCGCGCGAGACTGCGCGCTTGCACGGCCGCGGCGACGCGCCAGCCAGCGCCGCGCAGTCATTGGCCGCCTTGCTAGTTTTGCGGGCCAAGTCGCGGGTGGGCGGGCGGGGCGATTGCGCTGGCAGTGGAGTTGACAAGTTCAAGTATTGTGAACTTCCTTCCCTGACAAGAGCCCCCCCCTCCGCTGCATTCGCAGTTCTCGCGCGATTCCGATTGATTATCCAGCCCAGCCGATGGCGCCCCCCCCCCCCCCCATCTGCCGCAAAACATGGCGCGCGCGCGCCCGCGTATCCAGAGCCGTTGACGTCCGGGAATCCGTTCCAAAAAATGAGACGACATGTACGCGCGCGCGTCTTCGCGCGCTGTGCGGAACCCATGGGAAATTTCGGTGTCGCAAGGATGACGCAATCGAGTGATCCGAAAACATATAACAACACTTGGTGTGGGAGCGTGACTGTTCCAGAGAACTGCGCGCGCGCCATTCTGCGCATTCCCCAGAAAGCAACGCGTTCAACTTGTCGAGATCGCGCGAAAGCCCGCGCGCGCGCGTGCTTGGGGGGGGGGGGGGGGGCGCAATCTCGATCAAATAATACCACGCGGCCCTTTCTCGCGCGTCGGCCGCGCGTGCGTAGACATCCGAGACCTTCATCGCTGACGCGCTGGCGCCATCATCGTCACTGGCGTAATTAGCATCGGTGCCGCCGCTGCCCTTGCCGTGGCCGTCGTCATCCTCGTCGCCAGCAGCGCTGCTATCATCGTCATGTCTGCCATTGTCGGCGTCGCCAAGCCGCCGCGCCCGCCCGAGCCTCCGACTCGCGCTGAAGCGCCCGCGCGACAGCGCGGCCCGCGAGGCGCGCTGGGGAGAGCCCGGCGCTCAGCGCCACCGCGGCCGCGTCGGTCGCGCTAAGCTAGCCGGCCGCGCTGCGCGCGAGCATGCGCGGGCTAGCGCGGTCGCAGCGGTGCTCCAGCCAGCGCTGGGCACTCATCGCAATCGCCGCCGCATGGGTTTTAAAAACCGCAAACCAAGTTGAGGGTGGGCAGGCGGGATGACTGCGCGAGCAGTGGGATTCACATTTCCGATTGTTTTCAAAAGTTTTGCGCCGCGTAAATTGTGCGATGTATCTTGCGCAAATTATTTAAAGGCTGCCGCCTCTGCCGCCGACCCCAAATAAATGCATGTATTGTTTGTGCGTTGCGTCGGTTGGGGGGAGACCTCCCTCTCCCAAATCCCTCGTACTGGGCTCCTGGGGGAAGGGGTTGCTGAGGTGGCATCATTTCACACGCCGACGGAGTTCAGGAGGAATCTTGGGCCTTCTTGGAGCCGTCTTGAGGTCGCAGAAGCCTGTCGTCATGCGATCTTGGAGTCTTTCGGAGGCTTTCGTTTGCTTTCTTGAGCCATGTTGTGCTTCCTTGAGCCATCTTGGACGTCATCCCGGGCTGGGGTTCATCTTGGGCTCGCTGAGGCCCT